ATGCAGCGTGAGCATGGCTGAGTCCTAAAACAGCATTTGGGACAGGCACCTCTTTAGGACAAGGCTCTTTTGCTCTTACACAGCACGGAGAAAACAGCCTGGCTGTGGCCTCTCGCCTCTTCCTGCTGTGCAAAATGATAATGAGCACCCACTATAATTTTGACTTCCTGCTCTGGATGAGATCTTGATATCTTGCAATTCCTCCAAGGTACATTTTTTCTTGACTAAGCCCAGAGCAGGATTTCCAAAGGGCACTTATTGATGTCCCTCCCCTTGATTTCCAGTAGTCTTTTTCTCATTGCTCTGCAGCAGTTTTCACTGGGATGGCTGTGACATTTAGTAGGGCAGTCTAGTCCTCAGGCCTGGCTTGCAGTCCCAGCACAACCCCTAAAACCCTGCACGACCTTCCTGACCTCCCCTCCCTTTGCTCTCTTCTCCCTCTGGAAATGAAAGATAGAGAAGGATGCTCCGGCCCCTCTCCAGAGGGCAGGCCAGAGAGAGCCTGTAGGGCCTTACTGCTGAAAGCTGAAGGAAAAGTCCTAAAAAAAAAATAGCCCCAAGCTGGGCTCAGTTTGTCTGGTCTCAGCTGTAGGTGGAGCATTGTAATGTCCCAAGTTAGCAAAGATGCGTGCAGGAGCATATGCAAACTCTGCCAGGCTGCAAGCCACCAGGCAGAAGTCCACGCTCTGCATTGAGCCAAAGGAATGGAAAGTATAAGAAATAGTGTGGTTTCATGTGACTGTGGCTGTGACATTTGGATTCAAATCAATGCACAAGTTCAGAGGGCGCCAAGCGGTTTAAAATGAGACTAATCTCAGAGGCAGAACAAAGATGTTTTATATAACTTCATACAAAGTCAGAGGAAGAAGGAAGGTCGGAGAGCTACCCAGTTTCACAGATGGCACCTCAGTCTATGTAATATTTATCCATAAATTGTTGCAAATGTAAGGAGAGCTATAAAAGGACTAAGGCAAAACCAGTCATGCCTCTCAAACCCCTAGAGAAGAAGCACAAAATGAAATCATCTAGCCTGAAAGAGTCCCTTAGAGAAAAACAGATGACAGTGAAGGGGCTTAGCTAGCAGTCAACAGCACTGGAAAACTTGGGATCAGTCAGGTCAAAGGCTATGGATAAGCCCTGCGATGTTAAACTCATGACAGGGCATGAGGTTTACCCATGACAGGGTTATGAAAGACTTAATCAGGTTGCTGTCATTTGTACAACCAACTTTAAATCCTGAATGACCAGGGTCCACCTGGTGTTGATGGGGAAGGAATTACGTAAGTGTGACTAAGAAAAGCACACGCCAGATGTTAAAAAGCGGGGGCTGAGAGTCAGAGCTGTAGCGTGAAGCTATGCAGGATGCCAGGGAGAAGTGGACCTAATAGTTTCCTACAGCAGGCCTTTTGGGTTCCCTTTATGTCTCCTTCTACTCCTTGAATTACAGCTTGAGTGAGAGAAAATGGGAGTCTCTGGCAGTTAAGACAACAGAAAAACAAACTAGACCCTCTGCCTCCTCAATGAAAAGGAGACAATTCAAGGACGCCTGACCTGATAGCAATGATGGTGGGAAAGGAAATGACAGAAACGCCTGCTCCAGCACCATGGCTGTGCCACAAGAAGATGGTGAGAAAAGTCTCATCAGCCCAAAGCTCTGAAGAACAGGAACAAAGGTATCACCTCTGGGGCAAAAGAAAAGCAAAACACCTCTCCAGACTCCACTCCTAGCCATGGGCTGGTGGGATTTCACAGAGCACTTGCCTATGGGCTCCAAGAGCTGCCGACATCCTCGCTGCCAGTGATCCTCATCTATAGCTAGTGGTGTAAATGATATCTGTGGGCAGAAGCAGTTGAGCTGGTACTCACAGTCTCTACAGGCTTTAGAGCCAAGGCTGAGGGTAACAGATAAAGCTCCAGGTGTTCCAGGAGTAGACATTTAGTGATGGTGCTTGGGGAAGAAAACAGCGTTCAGCTTTAGCATACATTGCCGGCCTATGCATCGCTGATGTTGCTACACTGCCAGTTTGAAAGCCTGCCTCGTCCCGTGGCTCGTAGAGAGATATCTGCAGACCACATGAGCTTAATGGTTTCCAGAGCTGGCCTGTCAGGGATTAATTGCATTTGCTCTGACAGCTCTCTCTCAGCTGGCAGTGCCTTTACACCTGTGCAGGCACCCACTTTGCAGGGCAAGAACAGCCCTGCCCTATCAGCCCTGCTGGGAGAGGGTCGGGGGGCTGGAAACTTGCTGTCCCCCTGACAGTGCAACCCTGGAGAAAGGACTTCATTGCTCAGGGCTGTCACAAGCCCTGCTCTTACGTTGCTTCAGTGTCACAGTATGTTCATTGCAATAGCTTGTCAAGTTAAAGTGTACAAAGCCTGGTGTCAAAGCCTCTTATCATCTGTGTTTTCCTACCTTCCCTGTGTTAACACCTACTCTGCTTTTTCTCAGTGCACCAGCATGTCTAAGGACCAAAGCCCTTCTACATTGGCTGTTTGTCTGCCTGTATCCTGAGGTATCTGAATATTTTGGTGCCTGTCTCCAGTGGAATACCACACAAATAATTGCTTTGCTTGGCATCCCTGCAGTTATCCCCAGCAAAGAGGCCAGGACCAAATAGGTGTAATTGTCCTTTTATTTGTATCAGGGTAACCCCTTTGTGTCAAGCCTCCCAGCCATACCCACCTTTCAAAAACACAGAGGTCAAACCACTTCTACAGCATTTCCCCTTTCTCTCTTATCTCCCCATTGCCTTATACCTAATATGTATATTGTTCCTGCAGGGCAGGAAATATCTTGAAATTGCATATCTACACAGCAACGAGCACAATGCAGTTTAATAGTCCCTACTATATATAAATCTAATACATATAATTTTCCCTATCCCAAAACCAATGAATGAAGGGACTGGGCCAGAGATGCTATCAATTTATTTAGTTCACTCTTTTCCTAACATAATTTCGTGATTTATTGCAGCATCCTATCCTATATAGGATGCAAATGTTCTTGTGCATGAGACCAAGACCCATGTTTCACTTTCCTCCCACCTATTACAGTCCCTGAGGATCTGCAGACAGCACCAAGCAGCAGCAATAACAAGAGTTGTCTCAGGGGAGAAAAGCACTTCTCACTGGTTTCAAAAGGGAATTTCATGGTAAAAGAGCAAAACTGCTAGAAGTCCTTTTTCTTGTAAAACTCTTGAGTGTAACTAGTTAGATACAAAGTTTTGTGTATAACTGAGAACTGAAATATTTTGTTAGCATTTTCTGCTCACTCCTCTTTTTCCCAACTGCTCCATCTCTTCAGGCCACTTTCAGCCAGGTTTGATACCAGGGCTGAGACCTCAGAGATGTGAACTTTCCTGAAGTGTCAGGGGAAAGTTGTCTCTGCCCTCTGAGGGAAAGGCTGAAGTGTGAAACATCCCTTATTAATATACCAGAGCATTCACTTAGGACAGAAACTTTATGAATTCCCCTACAGCACAAAGAGCACCCATCAGAGCTCAGCCCACACATTTCTGATTGCAGCTGAACTCTGAAAAGCGGGAACTCCCTGAGGTGATATGTGGTCACTCCCCTTGGGCTCCAGCAGGTGTGGAGGCTGTGTATCCAAGATGCTGAATGTCTCCTTCCCCGGCTTTCACATTAGTCTGGAGTGTGAGAACATGCCTTGCCCCACACAGAGATGTTAGGGATGAAGTGCATTCCTGTTTTTTTACCACTGGCTGAATGTGGGATGTTGGGTACATCACATCTCTGAGGCTCATGTTGGCACTTATGACCTCCTCCTGCCTTAGTCCCTTAGCTGGGATCCATCTCACATGACTATACACATTTAATAGATGAGCATCTACCCTCAGCTAGTCCACGAGGCTTCACCTAAAGGGAAATGAAAGACGTGGTCATCTCCAGAGAGATCTTATGGATGAAGACACAGTGAATCACTTCCTGGAGGCACTGCTCTTCTGTACTGACTGTAGAGAAAGCCGAGGTGAGTAGTTTGGAGTCTGTTCTGCAGACCTAAAGTTCGTCAGATGACTGCCACGCTTGGAGCACAAGGCCTGCCTCTTCTCACACGTCTGGACAGCATCCATACATTTGGACAATGGGAACTTGGTCTCAGGAGGGAGCCTGCAGACATCAACAATGGGTGCAATTATGGGGAATAAACATGGGAATATATGCTGTGAAAAAGAAAGCTTTCCTCACAGCGCTGCTGTGACAAATAGCAGAACAGAAAGGAATTAATTCTGTTTCACCTAATTGCTCTCCATTAATCATCCCTTGGCAGCAAGCTCGAGTGGTCGACCAAAGGGCCAATTAAAGCAAAGGGAGGCTGACTGGTGTTTGTACTCAGGGCTGTGTTTTGTGTTACAGGAACTGTAATTTGTTCCCAGGGCAGCATCTCTTGCCATTCCACGCATGGAGGAGTACCCATGCCTGTCTGGCTCTGAACCCTGCCGTTATTTCTTCAGAGCATCCATGGTGCATGGACTGACATCCTCTCCAGGACAGCTTTTTGCTGTCTAATGTGAGATGTGATGTGGCAGGTAGACGCTGGGCAGCAGAAGAAACACAACAAGAGATGAGCAAGGTCATGAAACCCAGAACTCAGTGTCAAGTGTGTGTGTATTTGGGTTTAAAATCCTTTATTACAACACACACAGAAATCCTACAAGGCACAGTGTGTTAAAACCCTTTCCCCAGGTAAAATACCCTGTCACTTGCCCTGCCCTGAGCTGTCCCCACAAGATGCTAACACCCCAAACCCGGGGCCAGCCCTGGGCTACCCCTCGGCAGAGCAGCCCTAGCCCTTACACCTCATCCCTGGTGTCCCTCGACAGGGACAGCACCTGGCCTCTGGGACAGCCCCACCATCGTCATGCCGGGCTTTTCATGTGTGGGACAAAAAGGGCGAGCCTGCCGCGGTTACAAAGGCTACACCCCGTCCTGCAGCTTGCGTTTCGCTCCATTGGCTCCCCATACCTTGAAGTCAGCGGCCAGGGGTGGCGGGGAGAGGTGCCAAGCCCCACGCAGGCCCGTCACCGCCGGGTGGGCACAGCAGCCCTGCCCCGGGGAGGACCTGGCACCACCTCGCCACTCCCGGCCCAGCAGCTGGCGTGGCCGAGCCGGTCGCCTTCCCTCCCTGTTTGCTTTCAGGGTGTTCATTGTGCTGCTCCCGCGCTGCTCGGAGCTGCTCCCACTCCTCTCTCCCTCTACCCTTGTCCCGTTAAGCCTCATCTCCTCGTGTTTCTCCCTGGTGGGAGCCATGCCCTACCTACTCCGGGACTCGAAGCCCAGGCCGCCACCGCTGCCGCGGGAGGCACGTGCCACCCACAGCTCGGGGAAAGCCTACGAGGAGCTAAAGCAGGAGTGCCTGCGCAGGGGCAGCCTCTTCGAGGACCCTGACTTCCCCGCCAGTGACGCCTCCCTCTTCTTCAGCGAAAAGCCACCCGTTCCCTTCCTCTGGAAGAGGCCTGGGGTGAGTACACGACGTCCTCACACCCCACCATCTGGTGGGAGTGCTCCCATGTACAGCAGGGAAACCCAATGATTGTTTGGGGTGCTTTGCTGTTTGTTTGGGGTCCTTGGCAAAGAGGAGGGTTGGAAGGTTTCACCCCATGGAGCTGCGTGTTGCTGGCTTACATCTGGTGACAGAGAGTGGAAAGGTAGGGGCACTGTAAGAGAAGCTAAAATCTGATAACTATTGCAGGTATTTCTGAAACACCCATTTTTTTTGAACTGTCCTGTAAAATCCTATACCTTTTCCATATTTTCTTGTCCTTTTGAAGGCCTTTGGCTTAATCATTTTAGAATATCGTATGTAGATTTTCTTCTTTTCTGCCTGCTGTAGCTTATTGTGCATATGTTTATGTACATGCACAAAGAATTTCTCATCGGGCCATTATTTTTACATTATTACATTATTACTCTTACATTATTGCCAAACAAAAGCAACGTTAAGATGAAAATAAGATGGCATGCAAGGGATTAAGGGTAAAATACATTATGATGACATGACTATTTGAAAACCAACTGCCATTAATGGAGGAAATTCATAATTAAAGTTAAACTTAAAAAAATCAAAACTTCTAACTTTTAGAGCATGAGACATGCTTGCTTGCTTCCATCACGAAACACTGAGAGGCTGTGAGTACATGCCATGATCGCTGAGCCATTCAGCAGTAGCCAAGGGCTCGATGAGTATCTCTTAATGCATCTTGCGTAACAGACATTAATAACACGGGGATAGCCCGAAGCTTCGCCAGTCACATGCTCTCAGATCACGAAACCAACATTGCTCCTGGTTCCTTCTCCCCAGTTAGCTTTAACTAGTAGCCAGGAAATTTGTGGCTACTTTTCATTTCTTTGTTAATGATTGACATTTATTCTCTTTTTCTTCATGGTCTGAAAGATTCAGAATTAGTAGAAAATGTCCCTTTGCCAATAGTGGTACCAAGAGAGAAAAAGAACAAAATGGGCTTAAAATGAGTTTACGTTTTGGCTTCACTTAATCCACAATGAGGGACATTCAGATGCTTTGGTGTCTGATAGCTAACGTAGTGTCACTACAGAGCATTATTAGGGCTATTACTCCTAGACAAGTTTCAGCTATGAAATAGCAAGAGATAGCCCCAAAGGCAAGTGCAGACCCTCAGGCACTGCTGCCCACCTTGTCTGGAAGTACCCCAAAGGCTAGGTGTGCTTTCAGGCTCCCCCAAAAAGCAGGCTGGAGGTTTGGGGTTGCTTTGCTCAAAGATGTGACTTCTGTGTCCTTATGAGTAGTGGTAAGGGACATAGGAGAGTAGACTTTCTGTTATATGCAGACTCTCATCGTCAGGATGTTTGTAAGCTGAAGTGGAAATATTTCTACTAGGAGTAAGCTACCTGAAACAGGCTCTGCCTTTACACTCCAGTGCCCGCCATGCAAAAAGGTGAACTGTGAGCAGCACAATGAGAAATAAAGCTCAGGGGAGGCTGTAAGGATGCAAAATTACAAAGTTTCAACTCCTCAGCATTTAAACTAAATCAATTTAATGTCTATTAGCTATCAGTGTGTTTACACTGCCCCTGTGTGTGTGGGTATCGGTGTTCAGACTGCTTCTCATGGTGGCTGGTTTTTACTGCCTTCCTACCAGTGTTTTACAGTGGTTCAGCTCAAGTGTAGCACAGTATATGCAGGTAATTGCAGGCCCAAATAACGTTAGTCCTCAGATTTACACCTTGTTACAGTTTATTCTTTAGTAATGAGAGTAGACAAGGTTGTCTCATTATTTTCACATGTATATATATACCTGCAGGCACAAAATTTTGTACACAGAATAAACAAGACCCTCTAGCTAGCCCAGATCTGTACATCTCCCACTGCAATCAGTGAGCTGCACTGATTTGCACCTGGTGAATGTCTAGATTTCTACATAAATCTTAAGTGCCCTAAGATTCAGAAAGATATTTAGTGATTTTGTTTACCAATCCCTTATCTTTACAAATGAAATCCTTGAAATTACACCTTATAAAAAAAATTAGAATAATTTGAAAAATAGATGACCATTTTCTCATTCTATCTTCCCTTCCCTTCCCTTTCCTTCCTTTCCCTTTCCTTCCCTTCCCTTCCTTTCCCTTCCCTTCCCTTCCCTTTCCCTCCCTTCCTTGTCCTGTCCATTTAAATCTAAATTAAACTGTTGGGCTAGTATATCTGTCATTTATTTCTAGTAGCTCAGTATCTGGGAAAGCAAGAGACATATATGTTGAAGAATTAAAAAATAATAATAATAAAAAAGGGGGGGAAGACAAATATGTTTTACAATGCCAATTGAATCTGTGGTCTACAGGAGGAATTAAGAAGGAAATTCTCCTAATATGAACAGCCGCTGGCAACCAGTATGACAGGAACTATATGCTGGAACCAGAGAGATAAATATGATCACAAAAATAGGGCCACCATAAACAGCCTCAGCCTCAGCTTTTCTTAGATCTCTAAGAGGGAGATCTTTTCTTAGACCTCCCTCTACCAATGTATGCCAGAGGCTCAAGGGATGCAATTTGTTTCCCTTTGACTCGAAAGAAACATAGCTTCAAAGCAGCAGCAGGAGAGTTGCAGGCACCTCCTTTCATCTCCCTGGGAAATTCATCACCCTAATTCTAGGCAATACCCTTACGTAGGTGAATCTTTGAATGTGCTGTGTGTGGATGCAAGATCTAGTCCTGGGTTTTGTCTTTTTGCATACTGAAAGCACAGATACGTGTTATTACACCATCCAGTCTGAAAATCCCTTTAAGTTTAATATTATTCTTGCAAGTGTAGCTCTTGGTTTTCTTTTGTGTAGCAGAGAATGTGACACGGGCCCATTCAAAGTCCTTTAAATTCCTTTTCATTGTTGGTGTTGTGTTTTTTTTTAATTTGTGTTTGCTTTAAACACAGAAGATTGAAAATATTTTCTCATCTGTCCGTTGTAGAGCTGCGTAACAGGCACCGAGCCATGAAACTCTCACAGCACTCAGCAGCATTTGTGTCCATGTCGGTGGAGAGGCTTTTTATCTCAACCCTCGCTAGCATGCAGTTTCTTGGTAACACTAAGCGCTGTGAGAATCGTGTTCTCCAGCAGCAACAGCACTAAAATAAGGCACGTTATTAAAGATCAGCTGCCTTATCAGCCGTCGTACTGGTGTTTAAAGGCAATGAGCTGTGCTCTTTATCGCTCGCATCCTGTCACACATGGCTGGGTGTGTTTAACAAGCAGGCGGGCCAGCTGATGAGGGGGTGACGTTTGGTTTCCCCTTGCCAGGTGCGCTGGGGACATGGCACGGCCTCACCACCAGCTCCTCCCCAGAAAAGGCAAATAAAAAATACACAAACCAGCTTCATGCCTGAATATCTCCTCCGAGGGATTAGCTTCCCAGGAAAGTTGCTTTCCTCATCCGTGTCCGTGTGCCGTTTTCCTCCGCCATCCAGGCAATCATTTCTTATTGTGTGCTGCCAAAACTGCTGAGCCACCAAAGTCACCAGGTCACAAAAGCAAAGCAGAGCATGCCCTGACAGGACAGAAAGTCAGGCTGATAAATTTGGAACATGGCCAGGCTGTGCTGGCCGAGATGAGAACAGCAGTACCAGTTCATCAGGGACACTGTCCTGGCCACAGCTTTGGCCAGTAAGAGATGCTCCAGGAGTAAGTGAGGGAAGCTGAACTGAATTACCAATATCCTACCCTGATAGCCTAAAAAAACGCAGAGACAGGAACCAAAAAGTAACTCCGTTTCCTTCTAGGCAAATGCAGGGGTTAAGTGACTGAGTGTGCTCTGCTATATTTCCTCCCTCCTTAATTTGCCTTTTTTTACAAGCTTCTGTTGATTACATAAAAGAATTTCATGCAATAGGGCCTGCAATAGCATATCGTGGCAGACTGAGAAGCTCAAGGAATATTCCTCCAGTAGTATATTAGATGCTCTCTTCCTCCTCCTCCTTTTCCTCCTCCTCCTCCTCCTTTTCCCTTTTCTGTTCAGTTCAATCAATTCAATTCAATCTGCAGTTCATGGGAAAGGGGAGAAGGGAGGCAAAGTCCTGCCACATATATTGGTTTGCCACTGTGATTTTTCTGTCCAGCTGAGATACAAGAGAATTGCTTTAATGCCACCGTGATCACACAGTCCCTATAACTTCTGAGCACACAGGTGTGCTCAGAAGGGTGGGTAATGTCAGCTCCTCGTAAAACCTGACTCTCTAAAACAAACAAGGCTGGAGTCTGCCTTTTTTGTTTCCTTGTTTGAGGAGGAAATAGGGCATACAGCGTCTGGCAACCATGAGACTATGTATTATGTGCAGGTAAATACAAGGCCTAATACTGTGTTTGCAGGTAAATTGCCAATTTTAGGGTGTTGGGGTTTTTTTCAGCTGTTGGGGGAAAAAAAAGTAGCCAGGGTTGTAACTGAACTTTGAGATTCTGGACCAGGATGTGCTCTATTTTAACAATTGCCTATGGGTGAATAAAGAATGCCAGCCTTTCATTAGCAGACAACTAATTAGGAAAAAATGAGGATAGCTGATTCTTTAATTGCTCTGCACTATAATTAATTACAAGGATTAATTACAAGCATTCCCCATCTAGTTCTTTGTGGTGGCTTACACTGCTGCATGAAAATATAGCTCGTGCACACACAGGGCTCACATCTGGGCTCCGAGTGACAGTGACATTTTCCTGGCATATTTTCAGTCACGTCTGTGTCTCACTCCCACTCTTCCAGGACATTGTCAAGGATCCCAAGTTTATCCTTGGAGGAGCCACGAGAACTGACATTTGCCAAGGGGATCTTGGTGAGTGATTCCCCCTGGGTGGGTGCGTGCACGCCGTGCAGAGCAGCAGGAATATCCTCACACGTGAGGGGATGTTGTTGCTCCTGACCCGATGAGAGTAGTGAAGTTGGAGGCACCTCCCATGCTCACCTTGCCCACTGCCACCTCTTTGGTGGCACTCTCCCATCTGTGCCAGGGATCATCCTGGTGCAGAGGGATTCAAGGCCAGAGAAGGATCCCCATGCAAGGGTACTGTGACCCCAAGGGAGCTTTTCATCCACCTGCACCTCCAGACTGCCCTGGCTGGGCAGGGGCACACTTCCTGGGGACACACAGGATCTCTTTTCAACGGGGGGTGGAAGCTAACTGTGACATCTCCCCTCACCCCCACACCATCTTCTTTTCCTCTCCATGGAAGAAAATGAGGCTTTTTCTTCCCCCGTCTCAATTCACAGGTGACTGCTGGCTATTAGCAGCCATAGCTTCTCTCACATTGAATGAAAAAACACTAGCAAGAGTGGTACCACTGGATCAAAATTTTGGGCCAGATTATGCTGGAATATTTCACTTCCAGGTAAGATGAAAATCTAGCACAGCATGACCACATTTCTGGGCAGCTGGTCATTGCGTGTTGTGGTCTGGTTTGTGGTGGGGTTGTGGGTTATTCCAGAGGAAACATTAAAAAAAAAATAAAAATGGGGGGGGAAGGATTGCTGAACTTAATCTGTTGTTCATGTTTTGAGGAACAATCTTGAGGGCTATGTCAACCTCCCACATGCACAAGCATAGGCACTTCTGTTCCGTGAAGAGAAATATGGCTTTAGAAATCATTTCACATTTTCCACACAAACTCCTCTTAGGATGTAAAGCCTTAAAGATGAAACAAGATTTTGTCTGTGGTCTGTAATACGTATCTTGAAGATGGTTTGAATCACCTAGTGACCACTTGTATGTGACTCACTGGGGACCATATGAGTGCCATTATCCAGCTAAGGAGCTGTGGTGCAGATTTACTCTGTTAGACTTTTTTTTCAGACAGATTGACTTTCCTTCAGAGCAGTCTAGCATGGTAGAGTGGGAAGGAATGGTTTACATACGATTTCTGAGCAAGCCTATCCTTGTCACTAGCTGACACTTAGAAGCATTGGGACACGAATCTCCTACACTCAGGAAATGTCATGCTGTCAACCAACTCATGCTCCATCTTTTCTAAATAGTTTTGGCAACACAACGAGTGGCTGGATGTCGTGATTGATGATCGATTACCCACCTTCAAGGGCCGGTTGGTTTTCCTGCACTCAGCTGAACACAACGAATTTTGGAGTGCTTTACTAGAGAAAGCCTATGCCAAGTAAGTCTAGTGTACCACACTATACATAAATGATTTATAATTTGTACATATATTATACACAATTCAAGTTAACAGCTTCTATCTAATATTTTTTTAAGCTATTTTTCATTTTTTTTGCACTTACTGCTGCCCTAATCTAAAGAGCTTGTGAGCTCATCCAGCTCCCATCACAACATTAGATACAACCCTAGCTGTTAGCAATGGAGTTGGATCAAAGCCTGAATCCTACCATTTGTGTCCCCGCTGAGACCTCAGATGATGGTTCTGGCCAGCTCTAGATTTTTAACTGATTTGGCAGGCAACAAGCCACTGATATGCGAAGATATTCAGTCCTTGCCAACCTGGTCACTGACACTAATAAAAGAAAAGCCCCAGGCTTTAAGAATATCGAGGAACAATTTCATTAAAAGTGTAATTAGCAAGGAAAGCAGAAGTATCCCAATATACATCATATATCTCCTGAGTACATTCTGGGGCACAACTCTTCAGTGCCCTTCTGTGCTTTGAAAGCCTGTCTCACGGTTAGCATGTGTTTTCCAGGCTGAATGGCAGCTACGAGGCTCTGAAAGGAGGAAGCACAATAGAAGCCATGGAGGATTTCACTGGGGGAGTAGGAGAAATGTATGAGGTTAAAACGGCTCCTGACAATTTCTATGAAATCCTAGAGAAAGCTCTGAAAAGATGCTCAATGGTGGGCTGCTCTATCGATGTAAGTAACAAATGGGGTCTGATTTTCTCAGCTTAGTTTTGTGGTTTCTGCATTAAAAAAAACCTACTTTTTAAAGGGTGGTTAAATCATTAACAATTAGATGGATATACATTTAACTCTCTAAATAATAGCTGTGAACTGATAGATATGTAATATCGATGTGGTCCTTAATACAGCTGTCAAAAACAAAAGAAGATTCATCACATTTCAGCAGGTGACAGCTACTGGATTTAAAACAATAATGATGTTAGTATGAGCACTTGGGGAAGGTGAATTTCCTGTCTTACTTGGCCCCTTGACATTAAAACCAGCCATAGCTTTGTGAGGACTTAAAGGCTCTACAGACTAAAAATTGATTTGCTTCATTCCTGGATTCTGCAACAACATCTCTTTGGTCTTGTGAGACTCAAGAAAGTTTTCAGGGTCAGTCTGTTTGTAAACAGGGGCTGGAGCTTAGAATGCATCAGATTTATCCCTCCAGGTACGGAAATCTCTGAAATATCAACACCTGAGCCCACCTGAGAGCACCTTTTCCCATCCCTTACCTGACTCAAACTACATTTGAATAGCAGTTTAGGTCGATATCCTGGAACTGTGCATGGTGTTGATACAAAATCATAGGGACATAGAAGGGATCTGAGCCAGGAACCACCTTATTTTCCCTCTGACTGTATAGTGCTCCAAAAGAGAAATCCCCACAGCTCTAGGGAGCTCCCTTTCAAAGGGCACCATTGCACCATCACTGCCTGCATGGAGCAGAAGGACAATTTCCCTATTCACATTTCCCCGTTCTGGTTAGCCACTGACCTCCCACATAATGGCTGGAAGGGACCAAGTTACACCACTTCAGATCTCACTATGAAAAGAGGTATTCACGTTTTTTTTCCATATTACAGACCAGCAGTGCTGCCGAGTCAGAAGCCAAAACCCCCTTTGGCCTTATAAAGGGCCACGCTTACTCCGTGACTGGCATCGATGAGGTACGTTTCCTGTGGTTTGTGTCAGCAGCACGGGGCAAGGAGAAACTTGGTCAAAAGGCAAGGGACTGTCCCCCAACCTTAGGCAATGGGAGGCATTATCCTGGGGGAATTATCCAAATTGCCATCCATCTTTCCCTGCCACATCTTCTGTAGCAGTGCACTTTTAGCCCAGCTTAATGACACGCATTTTCTCTTTTTCTTTCTTCCTCAGGTGAGCTATCGGGGCCAGAAAGTGCAGCTCATAAGGATAAGGAATCCCTGGGGACAGGTGGAGTGGAATGGCCCTTGGAGTGACAAGTGCGTGCGCTGTGCCATACAGGCCATGCAAAAATCAAGCTGCTGCTCCACATCTAGCTTTCTGCAGGCACAGTTATTTCACAAAAAAATTAAATCAAGAATTTGCATGTGCTTAACGGTATTACTGCCATACTGGTGTGTCACTCTCAATATTTTCAAGGCTGCTCAGTTGACACTGTCAAGGATGTTTAACCCCCAAAACCCAGTATTAGCAAAAACATACATTAATATAAATTGGATATGTTCGTTCTAAGACACTTCCAATAGTAAATATATATGTTTGGTGTGATTTTCTCTTTATTTTTTTGCAACCTAGTTCCTGTAGTACTTGTAACATAACATCTGTTTTTAGTCCTACTACAGGTAATCTATTAACCAATTTTGTATTACCCCCTCTGTCTTACGAGTTTGTCATTGCATTTACTGTTCTGTGTTTCTAAACGTATTAGGAATAGGCAAAAACTTTGCAAGTTATATTATAGATGTGTAAGACAGGTGATACCCTCTATGTGGTACCTGCTAAAGTTATGGAAGGACACAGAAACACAATAGGATTGGTCTGAAAACCAGTCTGCTTTTACTACTAAGTTAAATGAAGTATAAATAATACAAAAGAAAAAAAATGTATGCATTAAAAAATAACACTATATTCCCCCCTCCCATCCCAAACATACACTTTCTGATACATTTTTACACGTATGAATCACTTCCTTTTTGTTCCACTTTCCTCTACTGAGTTTTTTCTTATTCACACAGATGTAGAGGAGAACCATAACCTGGCTGGGCCTTTAAAATTGCTGAGACACATAGTCATCGCTAGCATGCCTTTGAATGTAAATAAATGAAATATTTTCACATCAGCTCAAATACTTTGTTGTGTTTATGATTATATCTCAAAAAAAAAAAAAAAAAAAAAAAAAAAAAAAGAGGTTAAGATCAGGACAGGCATCTGGCAGTTCAGGTCGTTTATTGAAAATGCTGTATCTGCAAAGTGGAGCTCTGACTGCACTTGGGAGGTTTTCTGGAGCTCTGGATGCCAGTACAAAGCCCTGCTAAAGCAGAGGGGCTCCCAGGTGGCTAGAGGAATCTGTAATAACATTTTGCAATGGTTGCTGGAATTGAAAACCTAACACAAAATGCCCTGTGTATCCTATCAAATTGGAAATGCAGTAGGGCATTTCCATTTTTTTCCAAAAAGTCTTGGTGTTTTTTTGTTTAGTTTTGACCTGCTACAGCTGGATCTGTAGAGGTGAGTAAAAAAGAGGCAAAGATTATATCTGCAGTCCCAGTTAGTCCAGCAATTCTCTCTGTACAGGGCAAAGAGCCTATTCGGTTTCCACTGAGTCAAGTTTGTAGAAACATCTGTCCCTAAATTACTGAGAAACCTAAAAGAGGAGATGGTGCTACAGATGGCAAACAGATTTAAGGAGGAGTGTGACTTACAAAAATCTTGTGGTTTAATGATAACCATATTTTACTCAATCCCACCACCTGACAGCAGTCCCAGTGCTGAGTGCAGGGAATAACTCAGGCAGGACTCTTCTAAGGCAGCTTTAGGATCTTTGTCCCAGTCCTGCTTCCAGATACATTAGTTGGGTCTCTGCCGCTGTGTGGACTGGCAGCAGGGTTCAGGAAACCTCTTAAAGGCCTTTGTGTTTATGTGTGCTGCTCAAATAAAACACTTCTGGATGAAGAGCAGCCTACTGATCTGTCCAGGTGGTTGTTCTGGGCCAGGGAAAATTAAATGCCATAGACCCATAGTAAAGCTTGGCTTTGTTTTCTTGCAGCTCTCTGGAGTGGCGTTTGGTCAGCCCATCAGAGCAGAAACGCTTGTCTCAGACAGCACTGGATGATGGAGAGTTCTGGTAAGCCACAAGGTTTTAGAGCCTGACTCCAGTAAGAAATTGAGGTGCTGGTGGCCAAAATGGGTGACAAGGAAGAAATCTGAGTGAGCAAATGCTTGGTTTACTTGTAGGAGGAAGCAGGTTCTGCATGTTTTGTGTGTGTGCGTGTGTATTTTAATAACAAAAAGTCTTTTGAAGGTCAGTTTAGTTAATGGCATTAGCATATTTCAAATACTGTGTGTCTCCCGTGGTTGTAACAGCCTTTAAATCCTTACCAGGAACATACGCACACTACAGAAGGGAGCATTGTACTGCACTGTAGCGCCTATGAAATGCCTTCAGGGTTGATGTTAGTCATACACTGGTAGGGAAGGAGCGCTTAGAAGCATTGCTGCTTGTTACAGAAAGTACAAGAACACCAGGATATGTGTGAAATGATGGAAAGATTTAAGAAAAGATGAAAAAAAAAAAGAAGTAGCAATTGCTTTAGAAGTGTGAAGTGTTCTTCGTGCCAAATTCACTATCTCAGACAGAGCAGATGGCTGACTTGCACATGATTCCCCCACCCCACCCCGTATCAGCCACGCTGTGCACTACTGACAGTGTGTCTGGTCGTATTTTCCAGGGCCAGATGCTAATCTCGTTTGCACAGAGGTAAATCCAGAGAGGTATTCAGCATGATGATTCCAGATCTTAAGTTAAACCAAAGTTCACCCTTTGGTCTGGAAAGAGATCTAATACGGAGCATTACATCATATAAAATGGTTTATCTCACACTGATAGCTCTGGAAGGAAGTAGGTCCAGTGACTGATCCATTACTTAAGCATTTTTACATAGCATATCTTTTAGTTATTTTGCTACTGACAGAAAAAGGCAGCAGGGCATTTGAGTGGGTTTTTGTTTGGTTTTGATCTTTTTGGTTTTTAGAGATGAATAAAAAAGAGGCAAAGACTTTACCTGCAACTCCAGTTCCTCCAGCACATCTATCTGTTCAGGGCGTGGCTTAAAGCCTGGCTGTGTACTGGAGATACAGGTGTGTAAATAGGCATCAAATGAGCGATGAAATTCATCAGAAAGTTGTCTGTCCAACAGAGCTAAGCTCATAGTTAAATAAGTCCTCAAAAGGTCAGTAAAAATGAAGAAATATGAGCACACCCAGGCAAATGTTGGCCTTCCTTGTACAGCGTCTCAGACATTGAGGGCAGAAACAAAAGCCATCAGGGCTGAAGTTTTCCCTGAAGGGTTTAAGTGGCCAAAATTCATATGCAGAAGCTAAGAAATGCTTCCAGAACCAGTCAGGCAAGTCTGATACCAGCTAAACCCTCCACCCAGTCCATCAGACTTATTTGTCCTAATGTCTTTTGACTTGTGTGTATTTCTCTCAGGAGTGTTTGCCCCGTTGCCCCTTCTAAGCTCCTTCTAAGACACAAGACACACCTTGGTAGTTCCCCCATCAGGCTGCATGGACAGACTTTGCATGAGCAGTGAATGTGGTGTACCCATAGAGACATTAAGGTGGTCAGATGAGGAATGAGATGAACAGAGCTGCTTCTCTCCAGCTTTCAGTTTGCTCCTCCTGCTGATGCAGTTTACCTGAGGAGCTGGAGAATGAGCTATATTCCTCCTTCTGCAGCAGGGGACTTCCAGCTAGTCTGTTCACCACTCCTGGTGGTGACTTTGCTTGCCTCCCTAGAAAGCTGGGGTGATCTTTGTGAGGTGTTTTGAAACCTGCTACTAGAAACAGTGAGTAGCAAAGTAATTAGGTCTTCAAGAGTTCAAAAGGTGTTCTCCATGACACACATTTTATCTTTGTGCTTAGCATATAACATCAGGTACAACAGAGCTCTTGTTGATGACAACCAGTTTGTACTGAATTAAACCTAATGGCAGGTTTCACCCTCAGCAAGCTCAACAAGTATTCTCTTGGTACATCATTTCTTCAGGTGTCTGCAAGGTGACAGGGAGCTCAGGAGACCTACTGTGCATTCAGGAACAATTTCTGTAGCTGTGCTACAAGTTTGGGACCCGGCTTATTCCATGTGCTGACTGCATACAATGCTATGTTCATTTCTCCTGCACAGGCTCACTTCTGTTAATTGAAACAGAAGAAACGGAAGAGGAAATGCACCTGTTTATTCTCATGTATTGTTTTTGGTTTCATCCTAGGTAGAACAAGAAGGTTAGGAGGAAAGGCAGTGTAGGGAGGGAAAGTTGACTAAAAGGTATGGGACATTTAAAGCAGGATAAGTGTCATGTCATCAGAGTGGCTTCACTCAGTGTCGAAAGGCACCACGGCTTTGGAGAAATACATGGGGTAAGGCAGCCAAGGTGGGAAAAGTGATCTGATAAGACCTTTTTTCCTTTCTGTTCTTTGGAGTTGGGAGGACTGAAGAAAATCTTCATGGTAACATACTCAGGGACTGCTGACCTCATTATCTATCCCGAAGATACTTTAGCTGTGTTTTTGCAGTTCAGATCTGTCCTGGGCAGATGACATGGTGCTTCTACTGAATAGGAAGGAGGCATCCTGCTGTTGACTAAGAAATCAGCTTCTCACTCACCCTAGTCTCTTCTCTGCTAAAATCACAGGGTCAGAGTCTTCTCTTGCCTTCACCAGTGCAAATTCAGGACAGCTGCACAGAAGTCAAAGAAGGTGTTTTATCTCTTAGGTTCCAAATCTGACCCATAAAGTGCAAGTACTTCATCTGCTTTGCAGCATGCTTCCAAAGAGCCCAAGATCACATAGTGTGGCCAGGAAACTGAACCACTCAAGAGACAGAGATTTTGCTATACTGCCCATGCTATAGTGTAGTGAGCATTGCAGTGAGAATTAGCAGTGTTTGTGGCATGCAAGGCTAGCATTATATGAGAACAGCTGATGAGAAAGAGGACAAATCCCAGGAAAACAAGTCCTGCTGTTTCTTCCCACCCTAAAAACAAGTTGTAAAACGTCCCAGAGCAGGTGTACATTAATGCTGCCATGGACACCTCTTCCTTATACAGCATAAAAATGGAACTAGCTTTGTCCAGTGAGCTGCGCTAAGGGCTAGCTGAGTCCTATCTTCCTCTGCCACAGATACACATGTGGTCGTGGAGAGCTTTTTCTTTCCTGCTACTCCATTTTGCTGTTATGCATCAGTCACCAGAGAAAAAGGATAGCTACAGAAGTTCATGTCAGGGAAGAGCAGTTTCTCTGCTCTGTTCCCATAGCCCATGGCTGCATACCATGCCCAGCTGGGTGCCTGGCTCCAGCTGTCCCTTTTCCTGGCTGTTTGCTCAGTCCTGAATACCAGGCTCCTCAGCCAGCAGGTCTGTCAGTATCTCTTTGCCAGTTTACTTGCTAGCTTAAAATCACATGGCTTATCAGCTTCTCAGCATGCTGAGTAGGCTAGGTTCAACCAGCCCAGCATAGAAACTCAGAAATAACTGTAATTTGGCATTTGCTTCCTCCTTTCCATGGCCATGTATATGTATCCACCTTGGGTTTTAAATAATTATGCTGCAATATGTATGACACAGTAGCAGGAAGCAGTGTCTATCACCATCAAGGGCTGGTTGGAGCCTTTACTTAAGCCCAAATGTACCTTTTGTCCCTCTGTTTGGCATATGTTTTTGCTAGGACAAGGTCCTATGCACCCATAATTGAGAGGAGGGTGAGCAACTTGAGCCTAGGCACCTTACCAGAAGGCCAAACGTGACTTTAGCTGCATTGTGGACAGGCTAGTCGTACCATGGCCTGACTAATCCATTGCCACGTGTCCCCTGTAGTGCTGTCCTGGGCTGGTGTTGAACGCACAGATGATTTGTAGGCAGACTTGGCTTCTGCCATACAGGGTCCTGGATCCTTTGGTTGGCTCTCCATCAATGTGGATGCAGATCTTAGGACTAGGATATAGTAGCCTGGGGGAAGGGGATGGTCAAGTATCTTTTTCCACAGTAGGTTTTCTTCCAGTGTCACTTCATTGTGTCCTACACTCAACTGTACCTGAATAAAATTAGTGGAGTTACAGTAAAAAGAAAGGTGTAAGAAGTGTCAAAATCAGACTGAGACAGTAGGGTTGCTTATGCTTCACACCACAATGAATGAAAGCAACTTCTCCCCCAGTGTACATCACCATATCTCCACAGTCACTGAAGGTATTTAGATCCACATAGGGCGGTCTGGCCCTGGGCATCCTTCACTGAAGTTAATGATTGCCTGTTCCTTTCCATGTCTTTCATCCAGGATGAAATTTGAAGACTTCAAAGTGCATTTTGATAAAGTTGAGATCTGCAACCTGACTCCAGATGCCCTGGAAGACAGCACTGCCCACAAGTGGGAGGTGACCATCCATGAGGGAAGCTGGGTCCGGGGGTCTACTGCAGGAGGATGCAGAAACTTTATAGGTAAGTAGATGCAGCTTTGAAAGTGAGAAGCAGGCACAGAAGTCCTTACCCACCCTCAGGCACCTCTCCTATTAACCCATAGCCAGGATTGTGGATGCAGGTCAGGCCAGCTGAGTCTCAGCTAGTAGGAACCAGCCAAAGGTACAAATACAGTCCAACTTGAGGCTTTCTTCTTTCACAAGTCTGTTGGATCTGATTTGTCTCTCACTTACATTTGCATGAGCAGGACTGGCTCCAAATAAACCACTTAAACTGCAGCAGTAAGTGTAAAATGAGACAAAAACCCAGCTCAGACAGCATGTTTATGTGGCTCTGAAGTAGCATCAAGGATCTGAATTGTGTTACTCCGTATTGGCACCAGCACTATGGAATCATTGTAGCTATGTATTTTGAACAAAATTCCATCTGACAGCTTTATTAAAACCATGGTAACTTAATAAAATATCGGGCCCAAAATCTTTTCTACACCTAACTCCATGAAGAACTTTGGGATTCAGCTAATTTTCTGCAGAGCTGAGTGGAAAGAAGCATGACAACTAATGGAAAAAATAAATTTGAGCAAAACCTCAGCTTAATTGTCCTTTTTGTCTACTTTTTTTTTTTTTTTTAATAGTAGTAGTGGTGGTATTATTCTGAGGCAAGAAATGCTCTGGTGTTCTTTACATTGGCAGACACTTTCTGGACAAATCCACAAATCAAGATGCATTTGACAGAGACAGATGATGGGCAAGATGATTGCACATTCATTGCAGCGCTGATGCAAAAGGATCGCCGCAAACTCAGGAAGTTTGGAGCTGAAATGCTAAGTATCGGCTACTCTATCTACGAGGTACTCTATTGCTCTTGCAATGCTTGCAGTAGCCACCCCGTCAATATTACCATCTTTCTCTGGATTTGTAGTACTGGCAGTCATCAGATATTTTTAGGGCCCTTGCTCTTAAAATGCTCTTCTGAGTTACATCAAGCCCCATGGAGAATTTTGCCTTGGTTAGGATGGAGTCCTTTCATAGGAGGATTTAGGAGTCCCATGGGTAACCAGGACCAACTCCTCAGCCCCATGACTGTGTTGTCCCCTGCTTGGATCGCAGAGAGGGAATGTTGCTTCTTATGAGTCTCATGGGGCTCATCACACACAGTGGTTCCTGTCCCTGTGTGAGGTTGGAATTGGAAAATCTTTTGAGGCGCTTTCTCCATGCAGAAGACAACTGTGAGGTCTCATCACTCTGTGACATGCCACCTAGGATTGTGATATTTAATAGCAGAGAATGTTTAAGCAGGAAGGAAGTGTCCTAGTGTCCTCTTAGACTGTCTTCAGGGTGGGAGAGAAACCCTGGTAACAGGTCCTTGCTGTAAAGCAGGAGCTAGATTGCTGCAAGTGCTTGGGTGAGGGTGTGACAGTCAGCACTGCAGCTGGATGTCAGGCTTGTGCCAGGGAGAGTTTGGGTCTGTGACTGGGAAGAGGGCAGGAGTAGCCCTCAGTACACCACAGCCAGTGCAATGCTGCCTTCGATCCCCTCTAGAGCCCCAGTGGAGATGGACACCTGAACAAAGACTTCTTCAGGTACCACGCCTCCAAGGCCAGAAGCAAAACCTACATCAATTTAAGGGAAGTATCCAACAGGTTCAAGCTGCCGCCAGGTGACTACATCCTTGTTCCAACCACATTTGAGCCACACCAGGAGGCAGACTTCTGCCTGAGGATCTTCTCGGAGAAGAAGGCCATCACTGAGTAAGTCAGCAGCAAGCACTGGACCCTCTGGTGCTCTCCTGTGCATAGGGCTGCCAAATCCTGGAAAGGGTCTGGCTGCCAGCTGTCCAGCCCTACAGCAGAGCCTTGGTGTGGGAAGCGCCTATTTTTTTCCCTCTCTGGAATTTTTATGTGCTTAGTAAGGAGAAAAAGGGAAGGTCTGAAAATGAGCTTTTGGTTTGCAGTGTGCCCTCCTGTGCCTCACACCTCCTGTATGAGGTTGAGTTGGGTAAGGGCTCGTTTGCCTTCAAACTGGTTGGAAAAAAATATCTGTCTGCAGATGCATTTGCCCGTTTTTGCTAAATCTGGCTTTTTTGGAGAGGAGTTTAGGAGGTAGAGAAATCGGGGCCCTGGTGAATCCACTGGAAGCTTACAGGGAATAATTGCTAGCTGCCTGCTACTCAGCTCGTTCAGTAATCTGCGAGTGCAACAGTGCTTCCTTACAAAGTCTGTCCACATATCAATTTTATATTAAAAATTGAGGAAGAAGTGTGCACAATGAATACAGAATTAGATTAATTCTTTAGCAGAAAGCACACAGAGGGACTGTGCCCTCACAGAGTCCTGCTTAAAGTATGTTTTAATGGCTTATACCAAAATTTAAATAAAGCAAAAATCTGTTTGATGAATTTCACCCAAATGTAATCAGTTCAGTAAAAAATGCAGTTTTATCTTTCGCCTCTGGAAAATGTTAATGAGCAACTTGGTGCCCTTTCCACACCAAGCAGATATTGAACATCTTCAGATATTGAATGTGGTTTTGTTTTCCCCAGGGATCTAGATGAAAACGTTGCCATTGATCTCCCTGAGGTAAGTCTACAGAGTTAAAATAGCAAGAGGAGAGCTCAGCAGAAGCCAGCACACACTGCTTTTACTGTCTTTGGCTAAAACATGTTCATTTCACAGGAATGCTCCACAATTGCCAGCTTTGTGCGAGTGACTGAAACATTCAGTTCTGCTGAATATGGTAAAAGAGCTGTAACAATCAAAATCACAATCGTTATGCTTCTGCAGCTGCTTCAAGGCAGTCAGAGTCAGACAGCACCAGAAGCTGGTCTCAGCCACCACAGGTGCACCGAAAGTACCCCACTTAGCCCTGGGGAGGCAGGTGGCCTTTCTAGCTATTAAAATTCCATTTATTGTGAAAAAATAAGGAGCAAGAGTATTTCCACAGGCTTGCATTTGTCTCACATACAAACCTAGCAATATCCTCATGGTTTGGGAAGGAAGGCTTGATACGTGTGTACCTAGTGAAATTCTTTTTGTTCCTGGATGACCTGGCCTGCCTGCTGAGTACTAATTGCAGCTGAATCTGAGTCAGCTCCCATTTAAATGTATCCCTGCACATAATCTGTTGATTGTAGTATGAATTCCCATGGAAACGAGCTAAATCATAATCCCATGAGTCCCTCTGTATTAAAATCCTCCTCCAGGGACCAGCTAGCAACTGAACATCTCCATTTCTAGGATCTCAGGGCCATATTCAAGGTCAAAGTAAATCCGTACAGTGTCATTAAGGGACCGCATCTGAACTTGACTAGTAGAAAGTAATAAACATGAATATAGTCAAAAAATAAGTGTAAATGGCCAAGCAGTGTCACCAGGGTGACAGTACACTAAATGTCACCTGTATTATATCTTCTGTTGGTAGAGAAGATATCAGCATCCTGTGCTGTTCTGTTAATTGCCTTCTTTTCCCCAGTTTTCTGGCACAAGAACTGCTCCCTGTTTGCATGGTCACCTCAGATATAGCAATGGCCCTACGTGGTGGCATCTCTCATCAGTGTAGACTGAGTCCTGGGCTCTACACCCCTGCAACAGCACTGAGGCTCTCAGCTGGCTCAAAGTGCTTCCAGGCATGGGTTGACTCTGTGGAGAGCACCAAATCACAGCCAGTTCCAGCTGCTGCCATCAAGAGAGGCCAGAGGCCCCTGGATGATGTCTCTGGGAAGAGCTTCATTGGGCTGGGTTGTTCAAGGACTGTGGAAGCAGAGTGGTTCAGGGATGGAGTGAGAGGAGAGGCATTTTACAGGATAGGTGCCCTTGTTTTTAAGATAGCCAAAGCAGTGGTACGCTGTGCAGTTCCCCAGGCAAAGGAAATGAAGGGTGAGAATCCCCTCAGGAAGCTTGGTGCTTGGGAGGCCTGAGGTCTGCAGTCAAAGCATAACAATGCTCAGGAACCCATACACCTATTGTAAGATATACTGTGCTCCCCTAATGCAAAGTGGAGCTGTGTGCAGGAGAAACATCTTGTTTTACAATTCTTATAAATGTCTTCCTATGGTTGATGTTGCAGCCTCCAAACCCAAGTCCACAAGCAACTGAAGAAACTGAGGAAGAAAAACAGTTCCGGGCACTGTTTGAGAAGATCTCAGGAGAGGTGAGCGCAAAACCCTCGTAGGTCATAACACGTAGACAGTAGGAGAGAATTCTGCTCCTACTCGGGGCAAGGTGGGGCAAAAATGCTGTATTTTTGGGGGCAGTAAGCTTAGTTGCAGTGTGCTGTTTAGGCAACAGATGTCACCATGCCTTATATCTAGATGGAAAAGGGCGCAATCCCAAATGAGCAAACCAGAGGACCAAAGCTAGAATTCAAGCCTGAGGGAGCCGACCTAGTTCTGTGTCCAGCTGCATTTATATTTTTCTTCAAATCAATGGTTCCATCTTGAGATTGCTTTCAAACAGCCTTCGGCACAGCAGCACTCCAATATTTTGCTAGCTGTTTGCTTTTTATCCTTTTCTGGGTTCTGTATGATTCTCTTTTCCTGAGATGCAGCAACGTACAGATGGGTGATGTTTGTGTTTTCTGAGGTTTTTGGTATGTCTGATTCCAGAAACACTCAAGTAACAGATGCTGCTCTTTTTTTTTTCTTCTTTTTTTTTTTCTTCTTTTTTTAATTTAGGACATGGAGGTATCCGCAGAAGAACTTGAATATGTTCTGAATGCAGTATTAAAAAACAGTAAGTGCTGATAACCTCTGTACTGTTTCAGTGGCATGCAGCAAATGGCTGTGAAGAACTTTATAAAAGCTGCCATTAAGCTCACTTACGAATGTGAAAGTAAAGGCTGTGTTAAAAATCTTACCTGGTGGCCTCCAGCCAGCCAGGGCAGAGCTGGGTAGGCATATTGTCCATGATCTAACTTCAACTGTGTCCTGCCTCCAGCATGATCCGTGTCAGTTCAATGAAGCCGGTTCTACATTGCACTACTGCTCTGCTCTGGTGAAACAGGGAGTGGGACTAATAAGATCTGGATGTGGCTCATGGCTCTGCTCACTACAGGTCCTCACACAATGAGGTCTACTAGTCTGCTATCTATACTTATAAAATCCTGTTTTCTGCTATGGATTTACAAACAGCAGATTTGCCCAATGACTTCTGTCTTATTGTTGTCCTTTTGCAGAAAAGGACATCAAATTCAAGAAGTTAAGTCTCATCTCGTGCCGAAACATCATTTCTCTTATGGATGTATCCTTTCAAATAAGTACTTGTGAAGCTAAACAAATACTGAATATAATTGTTCATAGCAGAACATTATGTATATTGGAAATGGGTGGGGTTATGTCATGGAAGAACACTCTCCACAGGAAAAAAAAGTGTGAAAGTTGTATCCTTATTTTTACTTAAGAAATTTAGTGTTAGGAGCTTCAAGACAGACAATTTTCTACTGCAGACTTCAGAGGGAGATGCTTTAATCTAAGCACTTGTAAATCTCAATTATTTACATATAGGACAGTGCATTTTTCAAGCTGTGATTTATTTGAAAAAGATCTGGAAGAGAGAACCCAAAACTGTTGTCTGAAGAGTAGACTTCACCAGAGAGAGGGGTGCATTCAAGTTTTGGGTCAGAAAATTAAGAATGAACAGATTGGTGAAAATTACTGGTATCAAACCTGTGGGTTTTTTTACAGCCAGACAAAAATCTGGAAAATCTGGTCTTTCATCTAGATCCTGGAACTCCAGGAAGCAGACATGTGGGTGAGATTTGTCTGTCCAAATTTAGGCATTTGTGGTGTAGGTGTCTACATCTAAGCTAGCTTTCTAGACTTCCTTTGTAGATAATGAAAAGGATGGTGTAATTATGCTTGTTCTCGATGTGCCTAACTGTGAGGGAAGCTAAATGATGGCACAGACACTAGGTGAGATGAACCACAGCCCTGGTACTTCTCCACCAGACTCATCCTTTGCAATGTTCTGCTGTTGAATTTAGTATGGGTTCTCTTTAGGTAGAGCAGGTTTTGGCAGTATGCTTTTCTGATAGCTTTTTTTTTCCACACGTGAAACAAAACAAAGACTGTATCAATCCTGACAAGACTAGTATCTTAACACTTGTTTCTTGTTTTGCTTAATACAAGCTAAGCTTGTTAAGCTAAGAAGTTTTTATCTTATCCTTTTGTTTCTCCAGTCCATGGCAAAGGTATCATGCTCTCAAACAACTTCTAACACAAAACTAAAACAGACAAAAAGACAAAACTGTATTCTGGTAAAGCCATGTCTGTAATGTTAAAATTCAGTGCAAATCAGTCACTGTCCATATCCAATGAGAAACAGAGGACTGGTCCTATATTTTCTCCCTCAGCAACCAAGCTTCAGTAGGGAGCTGGTCCACGTTCACATCTCATCCTTACATGGTATTGGAACAGAGCCAGGGGCTACACTTGACCCCGGAGCATAACAGCAATCCTAGGTTTACTATTTAGGATATAACCAAATAGTTTCCATGATTTGCAATGCTTTCAGGGAAATCTCTGCATAGTTTTGAATTAGTGGGGAGACATCTCTTCATCTGCTTTGGAAGCATGAGGAATGCAGACAGAACCATCCTACTCTGGATGTGGCATTTAGAGCACAATGGAGGAGCAAAATGACACAAATGGAAGCCTGAGCTGATGCTGGCAAGTCACCTCCATGTCACATGCCACCAAATTCCCTGGTTGTAGTCACCATGTGGCGGTGGGGATCGGGGTGAAGTATTGACATGAGAACCAGAAAGAAGAACCTGTCTGGCTATAAAGACAGACTTCTTGTAGGAATGGTAATGTCCTTGGAATCTGTGAGTGCCCTCAGTAATATCACCAGTATAGGTGCTTAAATAACAGCATGCTATTAAAAAATGGTGGGCTATTAAATAATGGTGGGCACGTGTTGGCCTTTGTGAACAATTGCTGAGCTAGTGTCCATGGGAGAGAGGGCTTTGTCTTGAAAAGTAAGATGTAAAGGGGAAGGAGAATGCAAACTTGGGGGACATCAGTAGCTCAGCACAGTAAGTATTAAGACCCTCACACATCAGGAAGAGGGAAGTTCAGGCACATCTAATCACCACCTCTCAACACTACTATACAGATGATTATTTCAGACTTTAAAGCCCAGATTTTGCTAGCCTTACCACACAACTCCCATTAATCTTTGGTAGAGACATTGCAGTAGAGCCTGGTCTCTAGAAAACAATACCGAATAACACATTGGTTGACTAACTCATTCGAGTACAGTAGCAATTTGTTTTAATCAGGTAATTTAATTCTCTGAATCATTTATGTGCTATTTACATCTAAAGCTGTTCTCGCCTTAGAACAATCTGTCTTTTTTACTTGCATGGAGCTCAGCTGTGTTTTTGTGTCACATAATGTTCCCCAAGTATCACAGCCACAGTCATGAGCTGCACCTCATGAGAAATCCCAATATCATGCTCAACAGCACCGTAGGCCTGCCGGCCAACATAATGTTATATGTTTAAAGGGATAGCAATGTTAAATTCACTCAGAATTTGGCTTTTTATGTAACAAGTCATTTTCCTTAATTCAAATTACTAGACCAGCGGCAATGGGACTCTGGAATTCAGTGAGTTCAAAGTTTTCTGGGAAAAACTGAAGAAATGGATAGTAGGTGACATTATGCATTCAGTTTGGTTCTCCATTTTACTAGCTATTTCTTGTGTAGTTTATTATGCATATGCATACAAAAATAGAGACAGAAGTGTTTACAAGCCACAATTTTTTACTTAAAACAAAAGTTTTAAAAGTATGGGGGCTTGTTTTGGATCTTCAAAGGCATTCTTAGCTTTCCATGATGCTAAACCTTAATGGTTTTCTGGAAATAACAGAGATTTTTGTAAGGAAATCAACTACGTTTGGGACAAAGAATGTAATGGACACTAACAAGGAAGCCAATAAAAATGAAACTTAAGGAGTTTCTGTTACTGTTGCACAGAAGAAGAAATGATGATTCATGACTAGTAGGAAACAATCATTTCATAAGTCACTGCATTGCCATTATCGATCTCTCAGTAGACAACAGTACTGAAGTCTGGGAAAGTTGATTCTAATTTTAAACACATTTCCCTGCCACTGTATATGGCAGTAAAAACAAGCAGACTTTCAGAATCAGGGCACAGACTGAATATTCAAATAAAGACATCATAATTGTTTCCTCATGGTCATTAATAGTTTTTTTCTGAATTCATGCTTCACCCAAGCATTTAAAATATGCAGTTCTCTGCTTCTTGTCTATCCCATCAGAAATGACATATACTTTTTCTGGGTCCTAATGTCATATCTCTTTTATCAAAAGATGCATTGTTTTTGAACAAGGAGACTTGAGAAATCCTTGTCTTCTGTAAGAAGATTTGCACATATATCTGATGGAAAAATTTAAGCTGGATGTGACAACAGCTCAATTTAACCCATATTCCAAGGGCGAATCGTGTTTGTCATCTCATTAAAACAAATGAATTTAACTCCAGTTTAATAATTATTTAATATTTAGGTCAAAATTCAAACCAGTTGTACCAGACCTCTCAGCTGCACAATGAATGTTTAGATCCTTTATACCTAGAAGCAAATGAGTAAGGGACAATCTCGACTTCATCTTACACATTTTTTTTCTAGCCTTCAGGATCATACAGAAAAACATGAAAAGAGATTAAGAGAATGCCTCAGGAGAGAAAAGCTAGAAGACAAATGAAAGTATATCCTTCCCAAATAAAATTACTTTTTAAAAAATCATGGAATTTTTTATGAAGAGCAACTCGTTATATCTGAAAGATTGGGTTTGGCAGTACTTGTTTGAATTTCACAACAGCCTATTCATATGACAGAGAATTGGGACCCAAATTGCTCCTCAGTTACAAAATCAGAATGGATCTAGACCATGGATCTTGTCAGCTTTCTTAAGTGCTTTGTGCCACACTGTTAGAGATAAACACCTTGCTTTTGTGTGCCATATCTGTGCTCCTTTCATGTGGAAATACTGAACTTTCCATCTGCTCTTTTCATAACAGAACATCTTTCTCCTGTTTGACTCTGATAAATCTGGCTCCATGTCCTCCTATGAGCTCCGCAGTGCTCTCAAAGCTGCAGGTAAGACAAGCCCTACTTTTTTATTTTGGGACACCTGTTGGACAGATCTGCTGTAGGCAAAGAAGTATGCAAGCAATTACACCATCTGGGTGCCCCCTAACTGGGAGGAGGGATACACCACAGAGAGGACCTTGGGACCTAGAGGGAAAATTGAAAGGACTTCTGGCAAAGCCTCTTTCCAAAGGTGCAGAGAAGTGTAGGTAGGACCAGGTTTCCCTTTGGTTAAAACACTTTCTAAGCCAACCTTAGCTTTCTTTGTGCCCACAAGGGTTTGAAGCAGCATGGCCAACCTGGGGCTGGGAGCAGCAAGTGAGGGGCTGATGGGCGAAGAGTCTTGCCCAGTCATCCTGATGGGGCTCACCATCCCAATGCAGAGCACCCCATGGTCCTTGGGCCATGGCACTTCCAAGGAGAAGTGGCAACAGTGATTTCTGTTCCTTAGGCTGTCTTGGAGAGGAAGTGGGTTATTTTTAGGAATTACTTTTGGGAGTGTGTCTGTGTGGGCTGCCACTGGCCCTTTCATCTAATTATCGCAACACATGCAGGATTGGACCCTAAAACAAAACATTTCAGAGCCCAGGTCCACTTGAGGATTTGAGGAGCTGCAGGTAACCTGTTTGTTACAAAGAGTAATCAGTGGGTTTCTATTTCATCACAAAGTATTTTTATTAAAGCGCGTAGTTTTGCAGAAATCCCTTCACATTTTAAGGAGTCTCCCATATGCAGTGACCGCAAAATTTGTGGTTCAGATATACTTATTCATTCGAAGCTTTAAAAACTTTGCAGTCAGATCACTTTCTGTGTGGATGTGTGCCATAGCACATTCTCCCATTAACTGATTTTCAAGATTAGTTAGTAGAGATTTGCAGATTCCATCCTGGCCTATGAGGCTGCTCAATTTTCCTATGTGTGTGTGTTTTGGAAGGATATCAACTCAACAACTACCTGCTGCAGCTGATTGTCCTGCGGTACTCTGATGAACAGTTCCAGATTGAATTTGATGATTTTCTGAACTGCTTGATTCGCTTAGAGAATGCAAGTCGTGAGTATCTTCTTCCTCTGGGATTTCTTCCCTTTTGGAAAAAAAAATATAAATCCAATTTCTGCTGTCACCAAGCATATTGCATAACATCTGAGATCAGGTGTGTAGATTGAATGGCTAACAGAAAGGAACTGTGTTTAGCATTTGCTTTTAGAATAGCTTTTCCCCTGTAAAATGAAAAATGTTCTGTTACTGACGGAAAATTTCCCCATGTGAATAAAGCCTGCTTCAAAAACTCCACAGTGATGCAGAAGGCATGTGAAGAATGTTGGCAAGGTCCTTGTTGTAGCCTTTCTTGTGGCTCACCCATCAGAGCAGTGGTGCCCAGACAGCTTGTAGCTAAATCTCATTTGTAAAAAAGTGGAGCTGTTGTGTGTCCTACTGGGTCTAGCCCCTAGACTCCCCAGTACTCACACTCACTATCACCATTTCCCTCAATTCCTGCTGAATTAGCTGAAGATATGGTTCCCTGTATCCCTTCTGGTTCCCATCAAGGCACCCTAGGATCAGTTCATTTACACGCAGGGTCTCCCTTGTTGCAGAGCAGAAGTAGTAGAGACAGGTAAAATGTCTGAAGAGATCATCAGTGTGGCTTCAACCTCAAACTCAACTCACCTCGATGAAATTCACAATCAACTTTCCTGTGTGATATTTTTCTTTTTCTTTTTCTTTTTTTTTTTCCTTCTCTTTATTTCCTGGTTCAGTCTGGGGCAATAGAAGTGTTAAACTACTGAGAGAGAAAAGTTCAGTCAGATATATAAAGAGATGCAAATTGCTTGGCTTCATTTCAAAGCATCCGAATCTGAGTGCTTAGACACCCGCTTCCAGTTGAGTCCTGAAGAGAGACTTGCACAAAGGCCTGAAGTCAGCAAGACTTTTCCTCCTGCATGTTCATTTTTCAAAGTAGTTACCACCTCTAAGCAACCCCAAGCGACCAGACTTTGCGCCAGCCCCCCCCCCCTCATAGGCACAGCCACTGTCGTTGTGGGATGGGGAACTTATATATGAATATGAATGAGGTGTATTTATGGCTCCTGTGTCCTGTTTTTCATTTCAGGAGTATTCCAAGCACTGAGTGTGAAAAATAAGGAGTTCATTAACCTGAATATAGGAGAGGTATGTGCACAGCTTTATAAACACTAGCAGAATTATGGGGCTTCTCTACAGCTTTTTCTTCACATTAGAACTGGGATATTTCTGTGTGACACTTCAGATGAAATCCATGGCCATGAGAGCACAGAGGGCATCTGCCGTAGATGTCAGCAGGGCTGTGATTTTACAGTGCACACACTGATTACATCTTTCCCTTGCTATTTCCTTCCTTGCCCTGTTGCATGCTGACAGCTTCCCATCCCCCTTTCTGGCTTCTCTGCTTTTTCCTTCCTCGGGTGCCAGCTCGCTGTGGGGAAAAGGGGAGGCAGCCAGCCTGGGATGGGGAGGTCTTTCACTCTCACATCAGCTTCTCCTGTGCACGTCCATCCTCTGCTTCTCAGCATGGGTTTGTTACTTTCTTGTGCTCTCTTTGTCTCCCTGTTACACATGTGGGCTGTCTCGCATTTTATACTTACCCAAAGTCTCCTGGGGCAAGGCACAATGAATTCTCTGGAACAGCAAATGTGGGAGCTGATGTGGACTGTGGGGATGCAAATGAAGGGCCTTAAAGTATTTACTGTAAATTTGATCTTTCTTCTGATATTAGTTCATTAACCTGGCAATGAACATTTGAAGAAGTTTGACTTGGATGCCAGGAGTTTCTTGGGACATCACTACCATGGCTGCTGCCCCGACAACTGTGGTCCCCTTCTGATGTAGACTTAACCAGAGCTTTTGTGTGGAGGAAGACACGTGCTGCCCACCCTTTCTGGTCTCCAGCCCTGTTGTGTTCAGGAGCTCCACAGTCAGATCACATTTTGTTTTTAATTTTGATAAAACCTGCTAATGGATTTGTTACTGGAAGAGGTATTTGGATGGGGCACACATGCCTCTCAAGTAGACTGAAATTAATGCCCCTAAGTTAACACAGTCTTTTATAAAATAAGATTGCATTTAGTTTCAGCACAGCACAGCCTACAATGATTAAAAATTTTTATTGCTGCTTGGTTACAAATTACTGTGAGGTGCTTTTAAAAATACAAGGTTGTGTAAAACTGTTCAATTTGGAATTTATTTTGAGGCATGCTGTGTGGCTACATAACAAGTCTCTTGTCACAGCCACATGAATTTCAGTCTGATAGACTATGAACAAAGGAAGACTAGGGAATGCATTGATGAAAATCCATCCTTGAATATTTGTAACAGAGGTCCCTGGTCCAGGTTTCCTTAGAAGGATGTTTAAGCTAAGATTTGATGTTCATCACAGATTTAATTTAGGGATAAATTGTTGCATCTCACCTCCCTTCAGTCCTTCCTCTGCTATCAACCTGTCCAAAATGTGCCCCACAAGCCAAAGCCTGCAGAGTTGCATACAGCTTGCCTGTATCTTCAGAGAAACGTGCCTCTGGAGACAGTGAGCTCTTGCGTGGGGCTACCTTTCCCTCACGGAGTCAGTGCTTGTATCCCATACCAACCATGCCTTTAGAAGACCAACTATAATCATTTTAGGTGAACTAAATGCAACCATTGGTAAGGCCCTGATCTCTGCAGCTATTGCTGTTTTGCATTTGTCTCTTGCATTGTATTATTCATGTGACATTGATAGTCAGCGCTGACTTAAAAAATAACAGTAATAGCAGCCAGGAACTTAAGAAGTCTTCACTGGATTTGTTTCTATGTTTATCTTCATAACTTGTGCCTATTTTATAATGAATCAACTGTCTCGATTTGTTTTCTAAAACTTTTCTTGCAGCGAAACAGATGGCCCTAGAAGAGCTTTGCATTCCCTACTGTCCAGGATCACTGAGGCAGACAGGGTTTTATTTTCTCTACATTTAGACCTAATGAGCAATTCTGGAACGAAAATCAAACCGTAGTAAAGATTAAGTTCAAAGAACAAAAAAAGAAACAAAAAAAGAAACAACAACAAAAAAAATACACCAAGGGTCACAATGTTTAAAATTCCCATTTCTTTTCCCTAACAATTACAGTCTTGTAGCTATATAGAAAATGCTCTGGAGCTAACTGGAATCTGAGAGAAAGCTAATGCAGTATTTCATGAACTGAGGTACTCAGCCCCATCAGGTGTATTGATTTCAGATGTGATGGTTGTATGCCCTTTCAACAGCACTGGAGGCAGCTGTCCAAGTTTGTGAAAGTTTGAGTTAAAATCTAGACCATTCTATAACTATTTGGCCACATACTTGAGAGTAAATTTATAGATTCTTATCTGGTTCACTGCGTAAGCTTGAATGTTGATATAAATTTGTTGTAATATATTTTCTTTCTGTAATGATACTCACAAGGTATGCAGAAGAAAAGAGACGTTTCCATGCCTGGCACCTCCACTGTAGCTTTCTGTGTCTTCACACAGAGCTGGGGATGCCTTGGAGAAATCTGGTTTGATATAAGCAATGGGGCGCAAGTAAAAATTTCTGCATTGAAGAGAAAATTCATGCATTTAAGTAAAAAACACCCCAAAGTGTTTTCTTCCCACTCAGAGCAGTCTCCTGCTGACTGTATGCCAAAGAATCTGAGAGTTAACGTCCAAATCCTTTACAAATTAGAGTAAGACCCAGCTTCAAAAAGAAAAAGTAATCTTAGGAATAAGTGCATCTGAAGGTGGAGGATTATATAATCCCCTGTAAGTATTATTATTATTATTATTATACTGTTTGCATGAGTGAACGAGTGGGTGAGTGAGAGATGTTCGACTTCACAGCCCCATCAGAACATGATAGCCCTTCTCAGCGCTGTGCCCATGTGGTGCCTGAACAGGAGGGCAACCTGCTGTCCAGAATCAGGGATCTGGGCTAGCTGGTTTTCTTTTCTTGTAATCAAGAATCTTCAGTTTAAAGACAGACCTTGCTGCTTTCTCTGACATGAGATGTGGATGCATTTGGTTCTGTACAAGAGCTGGGGCTAATCACTTAGGGTGGTCTGAAAGCCATGAGAGCTGTACGTTCCCTATTGTGCACACAGATCTTCTCAGCGAGTACCAGCTCATGCTGTGAGCCCTGCCTCTCTGCTAATGGCTACATTAATGGGGAACATGAGATGCATTTTTCATAATTATGTTACTGGGGAAAAAAATCACTTAGCTACAGGGCTGCAATTTGAGCGTGCTCTTCCACTCCCTCTCAGAACCGAAAATGCCTCTCTAAAGCCTGCTACTGAAATCTCAGGCCAGATGTTGGTTGGGCTCAGCAATGGTGAGTCTTTGGCAGCAACACCTCCCTCAGAAAAATCGCATTTCTGTCACAGGCCTATTTTAATCCCCACAAGACTTAACGCTGGTCCCAAAACACTTGATGTGTCAACGCAGGGGGTGCCTGAGGCATTACAAGGGTCAGGAGGTGAGGGAGAGAAAAAAAAGTGAAGCGCAGTCGTACTGCCGGCAAAGCCTCCTTCTTGTAGTGCTGTGGCATCAGGCAGGAGAGATGCTTGAAACGACAAGGCTGTTCTCCCAATTTATAGCGGTTGTGGTTGCTTCCAATCATCAAAATTAAATATTTGTGAAGAGATAGCTGAGTTATCTAAATCATTTTCATTTCAGCTGCATCATCTCCCTGCCTCTCCCTGGAAATATTTGAGTCTTTGTGCTTTTCAGCTAATGGCAGCGCATCTTTTGGAAGCACATCAGAGCGCTGAGGGTAGTTTATAATGTTCCCAGTTATGTCTGGAACTTCAATATTTTTTAAATAAATTACAAATACTTGCTGATTGAGGTAAACTAAAGCTGTCAACTGTCGCAAACAGCTATCTTCTACACGTCAGCCACTTGTGAGGGAAAGTCTGTTATAAACTGCCCTCCCAACAACTCCAGTTTTCATCCTCTGCCCTTTGAGTGGCCCTCGAAGGGAGGTCCATGTCGCTGAGGAGGACTCGGCCTCCGGGGGAGAGAGAAAGCCTGGGCCCAACGGGGGTGTTAGACACCACAGAGGGAGACGGGGCAGGCTGGCCACACGCACCAGTCCCCTTACTTCCCATTCTTCCGTCCCGCTGAACATAGAGCCACAGCTCCCTGTCACCATTTTGTCTTTGTGTTTATTTAAAATGTCCAAAAGCAAGGCGTGGTGGGGATGGGGACAGGGCGGGGACAGGGACAGGGCTCCCAGTCATGGCCACACTGCCTGGCAGACGGCCCCGCGGGACACGGCCCTGCCCCTGCCCTGTCGGGGAGGGCACCGCCAGCGTCTTGTGACAATTTTATCCAGTTGCTAAGCAGCTGGGGACACAAATACAGTGGAAACAAACTGCCCAGAGGGAAAACTGCTGCATTGTTCTGGAGGGCGCCAGGCCTCCTCTCCCCTCCAGAGCTCCCTTCTCTGCCAGGGGGCACAGGCCTGGCTCCCCTGGCCCCTCCAGCTGTGGCCGTGCCCATTAATCTGCAGCAGTGCTGGAGAGCAGAGCCGTGCCCAGCTCCACAGCCTGACCCTGGGCACCCAGCCTGGAGATGGAGCAGCTGGGATGCTGTCTCTGCTCCTCTTGATGGCTAAGCCTGGGCAGCAGCCACATTGCACTGCAGCCCCCGTGGCCATCCTGCAGCCTGCTGCCAGGGCGGGCAGCTCAGCACCTGCCCCAGCTTGAAAACAGATTATCTGGTGCTGCAGAGAATGGATTTATCATGACTGATCCCATCCGTTTCCTAGAGGACGTGCTGAGTGACTGAAATAGAAACGGGGTCAGCAATTAACAGGGTAGCTCTCAGTCACTGTCACCGTATGTTACGATGAACGTCTGGTTTGCATATTTACCTGGTAAATAACTCGCTGGGAGATTTAGCAGAACACGGTTCAAGCAGAAGGGAGACAGAAGTGGTCTGGGGCCCTGAGAAATTGAGGGGCTGTTGTACAGAAACTGCTGTCCCTGCAGATTTCTCCTCCAACATGAAAACGTGCGTAAGTGTTCCTCCAATTTCAGTGAGGGCTTTTTATGGCAATGGTGAGAGGCAAGTGGGTGGGTAGCAATAGTGATGCTCTCAGCTCAGCTTTGTGGCCCCCCCAGACTCAGCTGAAGAGCCTGACTTTATCCCTAACAAGGATGTTATATACGCTATCTTTTGAACAGGCGAAGGCAGACATTTGGGCACAAGAAGCAGAGGTTGAGAAGTGCCTTCATGAGTGCGCCACAATGGCAGTGACCCAAGTCATGTCCTGTGCTGGTGCCAAAATCCCTCTTAAGGCCAAGAGTTCTGGGACATCTTTAGCACCACAATGGCTGTTTCAGTGTCTGAACCTTTTAGCAAGTCCAACTTTCTCTGCAGCGAAGGGTAACATCTCTCCAGGAGAACCCACTGCGCTGTTTGAGAGACATGTTGTTCCTTCCAGGGGCAGGAAACCTCAAGCTTGCCGAAGCACTTTTCCGAGCCAACAAGAGCTACAGTAAGAAATTTTGATTGAAAACAGGTGCATGGCTGGCTGTCCAGCTGCAAAAGGAGTCATGGTGAAGTTTGCAAAAGCTCTGGGGGAAAGGCGTGCATGCAAGGTGATGAAAAAAACATTGGCACTGGGTTTGGTTTGGCAGGGGAAGCCAGCAAGGGGCCGGGGAGCGACGGCTCCCTCAGCAGCCTGCACTGTGGCCCACACACATTTCATTTCAAGCACCTGAAGAGCAGAGGCCTGTTCAGCAGAGGGCCCTTGTAATGACGTCAAAGAGTGATTTTCAGGGCAAGCTCTTCTGGGAAGACAAGTCTGACCATATGCAGGTATTTAAATCCCCACGTTGGTCCCACAAGTCTGAGAATTTGGCCAGTTCCTTGGGAGGAAAGACAACAGTCAGTGTCTGACCTTGTGCTCTTCCAGGCACATCCTAGAGGGCAGCTGTCTAACTTTTGTATTGCCTGAAAGCAGATGCCTCTTTGGGAGTAGACTCTCATCATGCAAAAAAGTCCTGTGGGAGCAGGGAAGGAAGAGAAAGGGAGAGAAAGTAGGGGCAGCATGAGCAGTCTTCAACACTTCAACATAATTATGAAAGCCTATTTCTTTTAGCCTTGGGAAAACAAATTCCTATGGGTGACCACCAAATCTGCAGGCCAACATGGCAAAACTTCAGACACGGGAAACGCACGAGCACCCTTCACACCCTCCCCTCCTTCCTGTAGCCTGCAGCTCGTCCTGCTGGCACTGACCTCCCTGCAGAATCGTGTCCCACCACTGCTTCTCTGAGAGCACCGTGGCAGAGCCAGCACTTGGCACTCGGGGACCCCCATTTGCCTGGGTTGGTGCACCCAAGGTCCATTCTCCTGCCAGGTTTTTCTGTTTAAGAAACAAGGTGTCCCTTAAGTGACAACCCATTGGAAGAGTATTTTTGCTGCTGGGATGCAACAACCTGTGTCCATGGGTCCTGGGCATGGTCCCATGCTCCTGGGCAACCTGCTTGAGCAGGGGGTTGGACCAGATGATCTCCAGAAGTCCCTTCCAGCCTCAATCATTCTGTGAAGTGGCCTTTTACTCCAGCCACCCCAGTAAGGATGGCTTGACTGAGGGAGCAAGGGTCTGGGAGGGCAATGACTGGATGACTCTGCTGTGGGTAGATGAAGAGGTGTATCCAGAATACCCACAGCACCAGGACAATGCGCGTGTTTAAGGCACTGTCCTTATTTCCCTCCATAGACTAGAGCAAATTTCTCCAGCGAGGTGCCATTATCACCTAACACCTGGACCTAGGACATCCCAGAAGGCACGAGACAAGTGCCAGTGTCACTAGATTTTGTGTTCTCCATAAAGCTTCAGCTCCAGATGTTGCATGAGAAAGTGAGAATTCTGCCATAAGGTTTGGCTTTTATGGCAACAGATAAAATCTAAAATGGTACTTGAGCAGGTTAAATGTTCAGAAACTGAATATAAACAAAGATCAACCCTATTTTATTACTTTTTGAAGTTCAGAGCATGTTGATAATTTTAGTGGCCTTAACTCATGACTCATGAATGCTTTGATGTGCTGTTACTGCTCCCGGTATAAAATAACCCTGTGCTGGCTTTGTTTACAGGCAGGGATTTCCTTCCCTAATAAATGATTGAAAATGTTCTGACAATTAAGTCTCCAGAGCTGTTAATTTTGTAGTTTCCCTGATTACTAACAACCAGCTCTTTAAAAACATTAACACCAAACAGGAATTAGTGATTTAAAGACCTTTGGAGATGTAACATTAGTTTTATAACGCTGCAGTTCTGCACTAAGCAGAACCCCGTTCCTCCCTGCAGTCCTGTTGCCCCTGCACATCACTCAGATGCATAAATGAAGGCAGAAGTGGAACACCATCATTTCAGATGCATATTAATATTTACATCAACTTATGTTTATATACAATAAATAAAATCTGTAACATATATAATATATATAAATTTATTTTATATACATGTGGGCCAGTTTGTGTAAAAGTCTTCAGCAATAATCCCCAGCAGGGGAGTGGCTGGTCCCCTACACTGACTGACAGCCAACTTCTGACTCACCACACATGGATTGTCCAGTTTTAAAACTAACTGGACAAAAAAAAAAAAAAAAAGCCCAAGTTAGTTCTGCAGGGTCAATTGGCTGCAGTCACAGACCTATCTCTGTCCCAAGGGCAAATGCAGGTTCTCTGATGAATTCAGCTTCACTCAAAACTCAGTTTTGAGTGATCTGGATCTCAAGGGCATCTACACTGAAGGCTGCTTGGGAAGCTGCAAACTGCACATCAGAGGGACATCCCCCACTCCACATCTGGCCTTGGGGCCAAAGCTCCGTGGTTGCTTTGTGCATTGGATCTGCTGTGTGCCTAGCTTCTCCCATGGTCCAGGATTTTGCAGGAATTTGGGGGAATTTGCAGGCATCTGTTCAGGTATTTCCAGAAATTTGCTTTCCTGTCCCGGTGTAGTACTGTGGCATTTCTGTGCAGGACCCAGCATGAAGCCTGTCAGAGCATGGGGACATTTATTCCTCAGCTAGCCCATGCTTTCAGCTAACGCTCACAAAGGCGTCTTTCCCATCATCTCAAGTGCCTTACAAATGTCTGTTCCTTGCACTTCCCACCGTGAGATCGCTTCCACGTGACTTCAGCTGATGCTTTTTTGCTTTTAAGGAGGTTAAGATGACACTTCGGGCTGTGTGCAGGCATTCAGCCTAGGGGCGAGCATTGCCATTTGATATTAAGATCAGTCAATGGCTTTCATTCAAAGTCTCCAAAGAGGAGTCTCAGCATACTTTCTGATATCCAGTGAAAATCTGAAAGAGTTCAGTGTAGAAAACCTCTTTAGAATAATTTCAAAGCTGGAACAAAACGATGTCCTGTAATTATGAAACTTGCAGCTTCATTCATTGGGCTACAGTTCATGCAGTACAAAAAGCTGAAAGGGCGTCTTCTTTGGCTCTTAACAGTGAAGAACTGTGCACCATGAGCAATTTGTACGAGGAAATTCCGTAGCCGAGAGTCTCGCCGAGGCAGAGAAATGCCACAAGTGGCACGAGCACATGGTCTTCACCATTGTTATTTGCAACAACTTTTGCAAGGAAGTTACAATTTTATTTATAACAAACTGAAGCACTGAGCCGATGCACAGGTCCCCATAGCCTTTGTCTCACCAGTCCTTGAAAGATAACAACACCTTTGCTGACATACATGGGACCTGCATCCCCTCAGGAAGTCTCATGAGGGCATCTCAAGGTGGCATGCGGTACCTGAGGTCACACAAAGTTTGCCATCAGGCAATGATGCCCTCACTAGAGGGCATCCACCACGGCTGTGGAGCTGGA